TTGTTTTGTTTTTGCACAGTCTCCCTAAGTTGCTAAGTTACGCAGACTGGGCACAAAGTTGTGATCTTCCTGTCTCATTATATATTTGTTTTTGTATATTTTAGAATTAAACAAATTTCTAAACATAATGAGGATGAGGCATATTTTTAATCACTAGAGAGAGGAGATACAATGTGAAGTATCTTTAAACTGAAATGAATGTTTAGATCTATGACCTAGATATTGGTTTCTGAATATTCTTTATTGCACAGAAACAGAGATCTTTAGAGAAATAGCTCATGCCAGTTGTTGTTAAAACACCAGTATTTAGAAGTCTGAAACATAATCATGCTAGAAAGTAAGAAAATGATGAAGTAGTCACAGAAACAAATGAAAGGACACGTGGCCCTTAGTTGGCTACTGGGGACCAAATTTGGGATACATTGAGTATCAAACCGAAAAGTACCAGAATATAAACCACCGAGTAAAAATGTATGCATTTATGTTGACATAAATCAATGAGTAAGTAGGGGAGAAGGCTCTTCTTTATCTATTAATGCCAACTTATTAGTACATTTTAAAATAAGAGATTTAACAAAATCCTTTCCATTTTGAAAATATAGTAATAACAGATCTAGACAACAGTCATCAATGGATGCTGAAACCAGTAGGCCATAGCTCAGTGACAAGTCATCACATTGTTTACCAACAAATTATCTACTAGCTACAAATTTACAAGTACCAATTTATAACAGGGAAATATGATAGATATTGCCTCGATCAATTATCAAACTTAACATCTCTAAAAACAGGACATACCAACATAATAAATCCTCTGATTTTATCCACTCAGGACATGATCACTTTTGTAAGACTTCTGCCGCAAAATTTACAACCTAATGTAAGCATGAGGAAACATAAAACAAACACAAAAGAAGAAACATTCTACAGAATATCCTGCTTATCCTTGAGGAAAATGTTAAGGTCATGAAAGAAAGAGACAGCAACTCTTCCAAATTAAAGGAAATTAGAAAGACGTAAATAAATTCAGTGTTTCCTAGACTGGGTGCTGGAAAGTGAGTACGGGAGTGTAAGTTAGACTGCTTTCAAGGGCATTACTGGTATGAACATTTTAAAATATAAATGTTAGGGGCTGGGGATTTAGCTCAGCGGCATAAGCGCCTGCCTTGAAAGCAGGCAGTCGTGAGTTTGATCCCCAGTACCGATAAAAAGGAAAAAGACCAAAAAAAAAAAAAAAAATATATATATATATATATATATATATGTGTGTGTGTATATATATATATATACATATATATATATATATAAATGTTAACGTTTCCTATTTAAGTAACTGTACTGTGATTATATGAGATTACTTTTGTTCTGAGAAAATAATGTACTAAAGTATTAAAGTATAAAATGTCTATACTTTCTTCTCAAATGGTTCAGATAAAATATGTTTTGTATGTATTTATGTATGTAGAGAAAGAAAAAAAATAAGCAAGTGCATGCAGGAATGGTAATGCAAAGAAGCCAAAATATAACCACCAGTGAGTATCAGTACCAGGAATATAGGAATACTGAATACTATTCTTATCAGTTCTGTAATTCTGAAATTTAAATTTTCCAAAAGAAAATATACTCCTAAGTAATTCTCAGATTAAACATAAAACTAAATGGAAATACAAAGTACCTAGAAATGAGTTTAAAAGGAGAATAGAAGATACGATATAAAAGAATAATTAACAGAATTAAATGTATGTAGCTCGGTGGCAAAGTGCCTGCCTGGCAAGCACAAGGCCCTGAGTCAATTCCAGTACCAAAAAATTAAAAAAAATTTTGAACTCAATATTGCAGCAACAAAAAATATAGAAAAGGAAAGAACGAAGATAAAAATAGAATATAAAAGTTGTTCAAAATTATTTTTGTGATGAAAGGAATAAAGAATACAGTAATATTTGAAGAGAAACAAGCTATTTTATCAGATATTAAAAGATTTCAAAAACAAAGAAATCTAAACTTAGTAAAAGCACAAATCAAAGAAATAAGAAAACTAAAATATAAAGGATATGATTTCAGTAATATATCAAGTAGGCAGTGCAAAAGAAAAGAAAGAAAGATTTTGAAAATTATATTAGCATAATATTAGGTAAATGAGGAAAAAAACCTGTATTTAGATTCCTAACACAAACAAAAACAAATTTCACATGGATTTAAATGTTATGTATGTAACAAAATTAAAAACACAATCCTGGGCTGGGGATTTAGCTCAGTGGCCTCAGCACCTGCCTGGCACGTGTGACGTCATGAGTTTGATTTTCAGTAACAACCCACTCCCCACCCCCACCCCCCAAAAAAAACAATCCTGGTTCTAAGGTTCTTTATCATGCAGTTAGGGTACAAAATTTTGATCCTGTGCCAAAAACCAAAAGCCTTTAGTTAAATTTTTTATACTGTAATTGCTATAGAGGTCCCAAGAATAAGAGGCAAAGAAGAAAAGCAGCTAATATTTATGGAACAACTGATGTGTACAAAGTGGTCTACACATTATTTCAGTCTTAACAACATTGAGACAAAGTTATCTCTCTTCTACTGGTAAAAGAACTCCCAAATGGTAGAGATTAGGTTAAAAACAACATCTTTTTGACACTAGAGCCTGAGCTCTTTATACCACATTTCAGGAGAATCACTGTCGGTAAAATACTCTGGGAAATGATTTTTTAATTTTTTTCCCCATGAGCCAATATTTGAAATGAAAGATTGATAGGAACAGATGGGAAAGTTCTAGAGGTAAAAAAAGAAAAGTTCTAGAGGCAGAAATTGCTGGACGGACGATAGTGGGGTAAGTAATACACAGAGACAGACAAAATGTAAAGGGGAAGAAAAGTAAGATCTAAAAAAAAGAGACTTAACTGGATAAAATCTTATTAAAATAACAACATCTGCGTTTAAATCTATAACTTTCAAGTCTTCCATTTCTAAACATATATATGAAGAGGCTAAGAATATGAGAAAATTTTAAGCATCGTACATAAAGGACTGAAACAGATAGGAGAGGAAGGATACCATACTGAAAAATACATTCATCCACCTTTTGTCTTTCTGAGTTACTGTTAGCAGAAAGCAATTAGATCAAAAGTCCAACACTTTGGAGGTTAAAAATATTGACAGAAACTAAACCATGTTTCTTCTCAAATGCAAGCCAAAGTTGAGGAAAGAATCTGAGGCATAAAATGGAAGTCATGTTGTGGTAGATCTAAAATGGGGAATTCTGAAGTATTTTCTTTTATAACCTAGTTGTTCAAGATAGTATACAATTATTACAGTATAAAAGACTGACTTTAGGAAGAGAAGGATGGAGTAGAAGAGAAAAACTCACCATAATATTTAATATAAAAAACCCAAGGTACAATTTTCACTATGATTGACCATTATCTAAAGTGTTTAAATTCCTGACACTCAATAAAAAAGAAATAAATTGTAGAACAGATTCCATCATTCATTTATAGAAAATAAGCAATTCTTTTCCTAAAGTGTGTACACATATTTTGCAACCTCTCTCTCTCTCTCTCTCTCTCTCTCTCTCTCTCTCTATATATATATATATATATATATATATATATATATATATAAAACTACCTGGATTTTAACTAAAGTAGCATTGCATATCAGTGCAGAAAATATCTAATTCTTAATAAATGTTACTATGGTAAATAGATGCAGATACAGAAGAAAAAATGAAATAGAATCTTAACCTACAGAAAGCAATTTCAGATGATATAAAGACCTACATGTTAAAAACAAAAACTAGAAAGCTTTTAGAAGAGAACATAAAATAAAATCCTCATTATCTTAAGGTAGAAGAAAATTTCTTAAGCACTAAACATAGGAAAAGATTTCATTACATTAAAATGCAGAATATCAACAAAAGACAAGATAATAGTGAAATTTGACCTAGGGAAGGAAAAAGTATTTGTTACACATGTAACTGAAAAACCCTAATATACAGAGGATGCATGCATACATATACATATATCTAAATAATTATGTATATATATAAACTGTTGTAATTACATCAGAAAAAAACCTAAATAAAAAGTGGAAAAATATCTCAAGTAGTATTCTGAAAAAGAAGGTATTCTAAAGCCAAGAACTGGTACCCAACTTCATTAATAAGAAATATAAATTAAACATAATAATTTTAGATATCCACCAAATTGGCAAAAATTAAAATATCACAATGCCAAGAGTATATTTCTTGATCTGGTTACTCTGTCTGTGAATCTTTACAATTATTTGTTTGGGAGTTTTGTTTGTCTTTGTTTTTCAGTACTGGGGATCGAACTCATGACCTCGCTTGCCAGACAGTTGTTTATGCCACTGACCTATATCTCCAGCCCTATAATTATTTGTTAAATTACACAAATGGATGTTTTATGTCATTTCTATACCTAATTTGGAAGAAAATGAGCATTCAAATACATATTGTGCATCTCTAAAATATTTTCAAAATTAAATTTAATGGAAAAATTCTTAAATTCTATGAGAAAATATAGGATATGTTGCATGGTCAATTTTATACAAATTCAATTTTTAAAAAAGAATATTTTTATATGAACATGTAATATACTGAAAAGGAAAAATTAAAAAGCATTAGTTGCTAGGGATTTATGTACTACTCCCCCTCCCCCCAAGGCACGCACGCTGGAAAGTGCTCTACCACAAAGCCTCATCCCTTGTCTCCGATATCTATACTCTTGAAATTATTTAAAATGGTGTTTTACTTTTATAATCAGAAAAATTATATATATATATTTTTAAAAAGACAGGATAAAGAAAAATAAAATCACCTGACAATAAGAGCCAATCAAGTGGGGGAGGGGTGGGGAGTGGGAGTTTGGAACTTCTACAATTCTTAAAAAGGGAAGCTACAGAAATCAGGGCAAGAATTGTCAAGAAAAGGAAAGTAAGTCATATTCTGATGAAGATACAGAGGACAAGAGGAAATAACAAGCTACCTTGCAGATGCTTTGTGGATGATGTTCAATTCAACAGCCATTCTTTACTCCTTTCTGGAGGTCTACATCCAAGCATGGCAGAGCTGAGGAAGGAGGAAGAAATCAGGAAACACCAGACTCTTCTAGGAGCACATCATTTCAGACGTCATTCTGGCTAGGCCTCTAGAGCCCAAGTATAGAGAAGTCAGAGAATTCTGCAGCATCATAATCCCTGCGTCTGACCAAAAGCAGGAGAGCTGCACTTCTGGACAAAATCTGATCCTGAACCGACAGATATCATCTGTGGCTCCAGTCACAAAGGGACAAAGACACTCCACACCAAAGTGGCTATATGGACACCTAACCATACAGATTCACTCACATCAAGGAGACATAAAAGTCACAGGCATCCCAAAACTAAACCAAAAACGGCCGCAAAAACACACAAGTGCACATAACACATACCGTCGTCATAGCCGCAGTCTCGCACTTGCATGCCACCCACCTTGTGACACAGCGAAAGCAACACATCGACAGGCACCCTACACCAACAATAGCACACACATAGGGAAATAGCTACAAATCCCAGTTAAGGTTTCCTACACATTCTCCCACTCACCCACACAGTTCGGAAAATGGTCATAATACACAGGAGGCCGAACACTCAAGAAATTTCGCATGTGCAAACATAGTAACATACTCCAGGCACACAAACCCCATTCACACACCTAAGATCATAACCGCAAGAGAAGTCCTCTTCGCTTTAACCGTTCCATACACAGACCCACACAACCCCGACAGACACACAATTAACAGTCCTACACAGTATTCTCACAATTTCCTCATGTCTTCCTGATTCCCCCGCTCCTCTCCCGACTCGCACAGTGGAGTTTCCAAACTCCGCGCTCGGAACTGCCTCACCTACGCCTCCTATTGTAGAGTCAGTCCCACTCTTTTCTACTGCGAACTGATCGAAGCCAGCTCTCACAAAGCACTCAGACAGTCTGCCCAACCCGGCCCATTCTTCCCCACAGGGTCATTCTCCCGGAGCGCCGAACATGGAGGCCGCTGGGAAATGTAGTTCAGAAAGTTACCGTACGCCTACCGTTAAGGTCTAAATTGGAGTCCCATGGTACGGACTGCCGAAGAGGTCAAACTTACTTCTAGCGGAGCTACCCATCACAGCCTTCCGAAAATTTCAGGGGATAAGGTTTCCAAAAAGCAAACAGATTAGGTTTGTCCTCTTGGCTAGGTGTCCTTTAAAACTTACGTCAGACACATTCCCTTTACTTCAAACACACAACCTCTTAGTTCTTTACCATCCGCTGATTCCGTACCTTATCCTTGAGCTATAAATCCCCAGCGTCTATTGTATTCAAAGGTGACTATTACATTGCTTAGTTATTGAGACGGCATCTCGATCAATAGCTCAAGCCGGCTTCGCTGGTCAGGCTGCTATGAAGGCAATTACGATTCTCCAGTTTCCCGAGTGTTAGGATTACCGACTTTCATCACAACGCCCAACTCCGTATTACTCTGTAACCTAGTTTCTCTCGCCTGCTTAGAGTATGTTATGTAAACTATCATTGGTTCAGGATAAATCTAGCGCGGTTGCGGATCCCAGGGTTTGGCCAGGTACACAACTGGCCGCAGGGCCTTCTGGGAAATGCAGTCCAAAACCTCGCCAGGGATCCCGTAGGTGTAGCCAAAGTGGCCTTGGAGGTGCTGTTTCCCAGAGTTGGCCGACGTGACTATACTGACTAAACCCTGAAATCTGCTTGGAATTCCCTTACTCTCAAATTCCGGACACAGTCGTGAGGCTGGCAGCCACAGAGCGTGAAAGCTGAATGAGCGATCGCAACTGTGGGACCTGAGCGTTTGAGAGACCCAAACCGGCTCGGGAATGTGAACAGTCGGCCGCGAATCCAGTCCTCCGAGTGAGTGTGGGCCGAGGAAGGAATGAGTGTGTGTGGGAAACCGCGAGGGGAGTTAGGATGAGAGGGAAGCTATGTCCGAGTAAGATTGATGTGGATGAGCGAGACGTGAGGTCTGCATTATGAATAGTTTTGTGGGGTCGAGACAGTAATGCGGCAGTATGTGCGCGCTGAGCGATTGTGTGGGGAGAGATTGTGTATGAGTCTGTGTGTGAGTGTGTATATTATTGCCTGAGTGTAGATCACTGCAGAGGTGGTTAAAATTGTAACTGTGGAAAAATCTGGACCCTTTTAAAAGGTTTCATTTCCTCTTCAAATTAAATCTAATAAAAAATGTCTTCGTGAAAGATCTTTGAGATGAGCTAACTGATAAAATAATACATCCATAGTAGTTTATATAAAATTTAATATTCAAACATTCGTTGTAGAATAGTATTCAAAATCAGTATTCCTTTTAAACAAGATAATATTTAGTTAAGGAGTGCCTATTTTGGGTTGTGGCCATGAACCTCCCTACAAGCATTTTTTCTTCTGTGCTCTTTAGCAGACCCTTGTTGGGTAAATACTCAGACATGAGATTGTTTCAAAACCAGTAGTATTAGCTACAATTTAAAAAAAATATTTAGAGGACGCTGTATAGGAATGTGATGCTGGAAATCTAGAGCAACGTAGCCACATTTGACTACATAACTTTTGATAGAACTGTGGGGGGACCGGCGGTGGCTGAAAAGATACGAAGTATGAAATATAAATGAACTTTATTTTGAGAATGCGGGGAGAGACCTCCCCCGACTCCGCTAGGGGTGCGCCATCTCCACCCCAGGGTCGTGATCTCTCCGTGGAACACGTGGAGTGAGGCACATAAGTAGCCTTGGTTTGGGGTGGAACCTAAGGGGGGCATTAGGGATGCACAGGTAGCCCATTGGTCTTTGTTTGGCGCCAGAGGTAGATTCCTAAGGGAGGGGAAGATACGAGCTCCTTGGCTTTACCAGCTACAGTGTCCAGCCTGGACTAGAACCCTTTCAACTTTTCTGTGTAATCAACATTTTTAAAGGACTGTCTCTTTTCCCTTTTTGAAATATTTAGAAACTATGCATGGTATAATAGACACAGTTTTGAGATGCAGACTTCAAATAGTCTCCTTTGCTATATGATTGTATATGTAAAGTTATTTACACAAGTTCCTTGTGTATGGGGACACCCTTCGAGAGCCAGCCACTCTATCTCAGTTTAGAGATAGTACTTGAAAATTTTGCATCACTTTCACACAGATGTTCACATCTCCGGGCTGGATGCAGTTGGTTTCCTAGAGAACTGGCATGTGGGACAGGAAACTAAAGGGCTGTCTTCCCTCGCGTGGCATTATCCAGTAGGGTGAAATCCCAGTTAGGACAAAGGCATAAGGGGAAACTGTTAGCCTAGGGTTTCTTTCAGCTTCCCATTTGCCATCAGGGTGCAGCTTTCCTCCACAGTGCCTGTCATAATATTCAGCCTCACCACAGGACCATAAAACCAATACACTGTGGACTGAAACCCTGAGCCTCAATATAGATTATTTTGATATGTATTGACACAGTGATGGAGATCTAAGATAGGCCTCAAAGTGAGGGTCTTTGGTTCTGGTTGTCAAAGGATGTTCAGGCCCTAGACTATATTTTCCTGAGACTACATACCCTGGGCAATTTCCTGTCAGTGTTTGGCCTTTTGAGACCTAAGAGGGATGATGCAAATCCCTGTAGAAAGTTCCTTTATTTGAGGGGGGTCTTAGTATTGTGACAACGAGTCTAAGACGGGTAGAAGCAGATACACTCTGTTGGTCAAGTTCAGGTGTGAGTGAACTGAGTAAGAAGACATTGTGGTGATGGAGTGCTCGTGTGGGTCCATGCACATGGAGATTACTGCAGGTGTATGAAATTGTTTGTTTTTCCTTCTTTCTTTATCAAAGTACTGTGGATGGAATAAAAGGCCTCTAGCATGTTAAGTCATCTCCCTTACTGTTCCTTTCCTGACCTCTGGTATTTGTCTTTGTGGTGTTGCTTTAGTCTTGTACATCATTAATTTTTTTTTCATGTTGGAATGTTGGGTGAGAATTTTCATCTTCTCTGATGTCTTCTGGTGAGTTTTTTGGTACACAGAGAAATTTTGGCACAGTTTTCAAAATGCTATATATATTTAGTCATAGTGTTTCTAGTTTTATTTTCATGGCATGAAATAGATTTTCCTAGTTGGGTGTGGTGATGCTTGGCTGTAATCTCAGCACTTGAGAGACTGAGGCAGGAGGATTGCTGCAAGTTCAAGATCAGCCTGAGCTATAAATTGAGCTCAAGGCCATCCTGAACTGTATAGCGAGACCCTGTCTGAAAAAGACCATAAAAAAAGGAAAGAGATTATTCTTGGAATAATTATCACTAGTGGTTTCTTATGAAAAAGGAAAATAAGCAAGGATAGTTTTTTGGTTTTCTGATCAAATTTAGAAGAACATTTTTAAAATAATTTTACCCCTGGTATAGTTAGGTTTTCTTTGCCTTTTAGAACCTAAATTGGTCAAGGAGGACTCAGACTGTTAGCTCTGAATTCATCTAGTGCCTCCTCTGCAGTTAAAGAATACAGTCAAATTTCTTGCTCATTTTATGAGGTAATGTTATCTAGATACTGAAATCCATTAAAGCATATTTGTATATGTTATTTGTATTAGGCTTCTTGTTGCTGGGACATATACAAGCTAAAAGGGAAATTTTATTTCAGCTCACAGTTTCAGAAATTTCAGTGTAAAGTTTGCTAACTCCAATGCAGGAACATCATAATATGGAAGGTAATGGAATCAAGCTACTTACTTCATGACAGCCACGAATCAAAGTATAAAAAACACCAAGGAGAGATACATCCTCCAAAGGCTGCCCCCACTGACTCAAATTCTAATAGCATTTCACCTATGAACATCAGTGGATTAATCCACAGATGAGTATAGGGACCCCATGATGGAGGCCCTTCTCCAGGAGTTTCAGTCCGTTTAAGTGAACAATTAAGATTAACTAGCACAATATCTCAAAAGAATATGTGTGCAGAAATCCTCAATACAGTACTTGTATCAAATCAGTGACACAGAAATTGGATTATATAACATGACTAAACAGGATTTATCCCAGGAGTGCAAAGATGATGACTCACTATCCAAAAATCAGTTAATGTAATGCGTCATACCATTAGAAAGCACATAATCGTCTCAATAGAGAGAAAAAAAGCTAATACTCCTTCATGATGAAACAAACAAATCCAGTCTAAAAGCGAAGAATAAAAAAATTTCCATAATCTAATGTAAGGCATCTAAGAAAAACCCACAACTAACATATTTAATAGAGAAAGACTTCCCTCTGTCAAAAATAAAACAAAGATGTCTACTTTTGTAATTTCTGTTCAACATTGTACCTGACGTTGATAAGTAGGGCATTCTTGAAGGAATATATGTGTGTATATATAAAATATAATTATATAATATATAAAAAATTTATATAATGTGTGATACATATAAAATTATATGTATATAACTTTTAAAAACAGTACTGCAGCTTGAACTCACTGTCTTCATGCTGAGATATATCCCCACATCATTTTTATAATTTTTTATTTTGAGACAGGGTCTCACTAAATTTCCTAGATGGGTTTACACATCTGATTCTTTTGCCTCAGCCTTCTGAGTGCTACAATTAAAGTTATATGCTAACATGCTCAGCTCATTTTTAATTGAAGTATTTTCTTGGCCAAACTAACTACTCACCAAAGTCCATCTTTACTTCATTCTTAGAATTCAGTTCATCAAAAGATATTTTGCTGCTCAATGTCAATAAAACAGGGGACAGAATGCATGATATGTGGCATAGGGCAGTGCCCAAATAATTCATTCAACAAAATGAAAAACCAGAAATTCAAAGAGCTATGAAAAACAATAGGCAAAATGAATAAGGTTTAGGTTCAGCAAACTTACGCTATTTCTTATTAATGAATTTGAGAGTGATCAGTTGTCTAATGTTTTAAATTAGGATAACAGATTTTAACAGGTGGCTTGAGCATAAAGTTTAGTTATATATGCATACTATATATCATAAAGTTATATATGCATACTATATATCACTATATATCTGGCTATTTATAATGCTTTTGTATCTGCTTTTATTATGCTTAACTTTTCATATTTCTCAGTAAAATATACAAAATACTCATACAGAATATTGCTTAGTATGTTTTTTGTCATCTTAGAGTGAAAAGGAATCAGAGCCATATTCTCACTTTCTTCAAGACTTTATATTGTGTGAAGAGGCTGCAAAGATGATGCAAGAAAGCAGAAAGGAAGAAGAGAATGCCAGGGCCTTGAGATTAATGGGAATTAATAGTGCAGCTTGATTAAATACTCCATGTGCACAGGTCTGTTTGTGCCCCAATATACCCTAGCAAGTCTGTGTATTTCAGTCATACCACTGAATGCATGGTAAATCTAGTCAGGATTACTTAACTTCAAAAACTACCTCTCTATTTTTGTGGTGTAGCCTTTTTGGACACTCTGGGTAAGTATGAGTCAGTAGGTATTATAAAGATATGGGTGTGAAGTGGGAAACAAGACACAGTCATGGAAGAGCAATATATTCAGGAATACTCTATGCAGGTACAGTGGGTTCCCAGATTGGAGAGATCCATTATCCTTGAAATAACCCTGGGAATATAGAACTCCTGGCTTATACAGGTGTAGGAGACATTTATGGGAATCATTATGGCTACATCTCATATTCTGATCCAGATCATGATTTTCATACAACCATTTGGATTGAAACCCCACCCTGCTTTAGTTTGGGGTAGGACCAGGATTTTCTCAGACTCCCTCTGGCTTTCCTACTAAGGAGACAAATGTTCTCCTCATTTGTGCATTTGAAATGTATTAAGGAAAGCTTGTTATGAGTCTTTCCCTTTATCACATTTTCTCAGGACTCTGTTTCACCGAGAAAGAAAAAAAAAAAAACAGCTGGTCAATTACTAGAATCTAAAATCATGGCCTATGTGAACTGGAATTATATGCAAAATTATACCATTTGTATCATATATGAACATTTTATTTTTTTTTTTAAATTTTACCAACATCAGTTTATTTAATTAATTAATTATTTATTTATTTATTTTCTTGGTACCGGGGATCGAACTTAATGACCGCCTGCTTGCAAGGCAGGTGCTTATGCCGCTGAGCTAAATCCCCAGCCCCCCATATATGAACATTTTAATGGTGACCTTTAAACTACTTATATCAGTCATATCATAGTAGTAAATTATGAATGTGAAATAGTCTAGTTTCATCCTTTCTTCACCGAATATTTCCACATCTTTCCATGAGGGCATTCATTCAGTGTCTCCTGTGTCCAGTTCTGACAACGCTGAAGAAGGAAAGTCTGTTTCCATACTTGGAATATTACAGAGTTTTCGCGTCAAAATTGTAATATAGCAAGGTGGAACTGAGTTGTTTGAGGATCACAGTACATAAAAGCTTTTATTATTCCATAGAGTGGGCTGTTTCAATTAGCATGGAAGCTGGTTTTGGTTGGTATCCATTTCACTATGTGGCATCTTGTGATGCTGTTAGAATGCATAAGGGAACACGGAGTTTGCAGAAGCCAAACTCTATCCAGAAAATTAGGAGGGATTAAGATCATTAACAAAACATGAACAAATTGTCAGCTGCTTAGTAGAGTGCCTTAAACCCTATCCATTCTCCTCAGAAAGTAATATTCATTTAGCATATCTGTCAAGAATTCTTTCAATGTAACCTGACAAGAAATACATCTCAAAATATTGGCTGCATAAAGCAAACACAGGCCAGGTGTGGTGGTGCATGCCTGTAATCCCAGCACTTGGGAGGTTGAGGCAAGAGGATTGCTGTGAGTTTGAGGCCAGCATAGGCTACATAGTAAGTTAAAGGCCAGCCTGGACTAGAGCAAGACCCTGTCTCAAAAACAAAACAAAGCAAAACAATAAACAAAATGAACAGCTCACAAAACTCCCAGTTCTGCTCATGTAATAAATCTGGAGTTAGTCTAGCCAGGCTGGAGTGTCCTCTTAGTGGTATCACAGAAAACTGTATATATACTGTCTGTTACTCAAAGCTTTTAATATAATGCCTTGCTATTTGTTATGTGAAGCTCATAGGGATTTTGTCACTAAGCAATGAGTTTTTATAAGCCTGTAGGTATTCAGCTTTAGTCACTTATTTCCATGTTATTTCCTCCTGTCCCACAGACAGGCAACTGTAAAGTTTTGTCCATTGTATGTCCCATGCCCTGCAATACAGCCTTTCCTCTTGCAGCAAGAGGGTTTCTGTTTAAAAAAAATTCATCATTAATATTTATTTGGGTATCTCATTGTAGCTGCTGATTTCATTTGGGGATATGGCTGTAGATTTCTCTAAGAAGGAGTGGGAGTGCCTGGATCTCAAACAGAAAATTTTTACTGAGCTGTGATGTTGGAAAACTACAACAATCTTATTTCAATGGGTACTGTTCACAATGTAGCCACAGAAATTGCGCCTTTTTCATTGTCAATTGTTGAATTGTCTTTTATATCTATAGGAATCTGACATTGTTTCTGGGGGAAAAGTTTATGCTTTCTAAACGTCACAGTAATCATCATCAAAGGATCATATGTAAACTTTGGAAGCCATACCCATGTGGCCATTTTCTATGTTTTATCTTCTGGCAGGACTTTGCATATACCAGCCAGGTGTATTCTACTTGTTGGAGAAAGGGCAAGAGCCCTGAATGTTTCTAAGAGATTAGACAAGAGAAGACCTTGCCCAGGTAAGTGAATGCTAAGCAGGCACCAAGCATCCATCATTATAAATAATAGCCCAGGTGATAAATGAGGCAATAACACCTAAAGTATACTGCTTTGCAGTATCCTTTCAGTGAGTAAGAACATTTTGGCCTAAGACCTATAAAGCCAGCCTTGTCCAAAAACACTTTCACTTTATTTCACATTGCTCACCCATTTTTTTTTTTTACTCCAGCCATTGCTTTATGGATTGTTTCATTCAAGTTCCTTCTCATCTCTCTTTTTACATGTAGGTGTTTATAAATTTCTTCATTCCCCCTCTCATCCTCAGACAGAAAATTGTGGCCTTGTTTTCATTTTACTGTTATCTCTTGAATTTTTCTTAACTTTACCTACTTTCTCCTTGCTTCACATTGGAAGTTTACCTTTCTCTCTTTCAGACCTGTAGAGAAAGATTAGGTCATAAATTTCATCTTGTTACTCCAGAGACTTTAGCTCTGCTGGGCCACATGACTGTTTGTTCTGAAGGAAGTCTTACTAAGCATAGTATAAAGGAGATGAAAGCAGGACCTTAGTCCCAGTACAATGCTGCTGGGACAGCAGCAGATGTTTTGTTAAGATGTGTCCAAAAGAATGGTAGACATGAAGGCCAAACATAGCCAAAGATGGTCCCTGGGATAAACAATTAAATGCTCACTTATCTGTACTTTATCCCTCCCATTTCCCACTTCTGCTTTTTGTAAAGAAAAGGCTAATAAATAACCAGGGAGACTATGATCAAGAACTCAATCCTAGAGACTGTGCCTCCGCTCACCAGATCCCGTAACTTTTGTCTCTCTCTTGTTTGTTTTTCATCCACTGCACCTTGTTTTCAGGACCTGTCTCCTCACAGAAACCAATGCAGACCTACAGTCTAGGTATCAAGTCAAGAAGTTATCACCCAAAACAATCACTTTGGAAAGAGAATTATTCCAATGGGAAGTACTAGAAATTTGTAGAAATCATGCCCTTGAAGATTTATGTTTGAGAGGTGATAAAGATGACAAAGGACAGTTGCAAATACAGCATGAAAATCAAGAAAAGTATTTCAAGCTGGTTATAGTCTCCTATGGGAAAAAAATGCCTATTTTTAACAAGCACACAGTTTTTAATCAACATCAGAGACTCAGTACAGGAGAGAAACTGAATGCATTTAAAGAATTTGAAGAAGCTTTTATTTCTAGCTCAGACCCTAATTGACCTAAGTTAATTCATACTCGTGGCAAGTGCTATGAAGATAAGAAATATCAAAAGACATTTCTTCCCAATTCAGAATTTACTTAATATGAAACAACCCAAACTAGTAAGAAAAGATATGAATGTAAGGAATGTGGCAAGACTTTTAGATTGCATTCAATTCAAACTGGTCCTAAGAGAATTTGTACTGGGGAGAAAACTTTTAAATGTAAGGAATGTGGGAAAGCTTTTAGATATCATTCATTTTAGATATCATACAAAAGTTAGTGTCCATAAGCAAATTCATACTGATGATCAATCTTACAAATGTAGAGAATGTGGAAAGACCTTTCATTTTGGGTCAGGCCTTGGTCAACACTGGAGAATTCTTGCTAGTGAAAAATCCTGATTCTGATGAATGTAGAAAGTCCTTTACTCAGCATTCATGTTTAATTAAACATGAGAGGATTCACACAGGTGTCATATGAGAGGCTAATGTTTTGTTAGGAAAATTTGGAAAAACCTTATGAATGTAAGGAGTATGGAATAGCTTTTAATTGTCACTCACACCTGATTAAACATCAGAAAATTCATAGTGGGGAAATATCACATGAACACAAGGAATGTGGAAAAGCATTTGTTCATAGTGAAAATCTTGCCAGGTATCAGAATGTTCATGTTGGTAGGAAACCCTATGAATGTGAGGAATGTGGTAAAGCCTACATCTGGAGCTTATACCTTGCTTGACATCAACAAATTCATACTGGCAAGAAATTCGTACTAGCAAGCAATGTGGGAAGACTTATTTGGACTTCATATCTTGTTTGACACAAGATAACTCATGAGAAACACTACAAATGTAAGGAATGTGAAAAGACTTTTTGCATGTTCAGAACTTAATGTCAGGAAATCTGTGCTGGAAAGATACCATATCAAGGTAAAGAATGTGGAAAGTTCTTTCTCCAGTATTCACATCAGAGAATGCATACTGGCCAATAAACCTTACATATGTAAATAATATGAGAAACTCTTACATGCTATAGAAAACACACTGATCAGAACCCTATGAATGTGAGAAGAATAGCCACATCTTCAGTCACCATATTTCACTAAACAGAAAATTCACAGTGTTAACAATCTGTGACTTGCAACATCTGAAGCCACGGCTCAAAATTTACTCAACACCAGATTATTTACACTATTGATAACTGCTATGACTATATAAAATATGTCAAGATGGATATTTTTCATAGCTATCACTATTTCACTATTGCAAAATTTATGATATAAAAACATTGCAAAGACCTTATTCATGATTCATTAAATCATTTGATTCTTGTAAGAAACTTAATATTTGAAGAATGCAATACACTCATCAGAAAATTCATAATGTAATCTGTGTTAGTGTAGGAAGGAATTTACTGATTGGTCATCAGTTATGGATTATTGGAATAAAACTGTAAATGAGATAATAGTATGAATTCTTTTTGAACTATTTTCATCACATTCTATCGAGGCCTGTTACATAAAGAATTTATATTTAATTCATAAACTTTCTATCACTGTCAAAATCTTGCTGCATTTCCACAAGTGTCATATGAGAGGCTAATGTTTTGTTAGGAAAATTTGGAAAATCCTTGAGCTCTCATTCAACTTGGTTCCATATCTGTGTTTCTCAAGATCCTACATTTGTATTGGTTAGGAAGTAAACTTACCTGTTTGCATATTCATTGGGTTATAAAAGTTAGGTGAGTTTCAGACAATATTTTTATGATTGTCATTTGTGTTGGTATGAAATCATTTCTATGAGTGGAAGACCTTAAGAATATAATGATTTCCTAGATGTAGTAGCACATACCTGTAATCCCAAAACATTGAAAGAGTAAGGCAAGGAAGTTGCAAGTTCAAACCTGACCTGAGCAACTTAGTAACAAGACCGTTTCTCAAAATAAAAAGTAAAAAAAGGGCTGAGGGATAAGAAATTGAAAGAATAAATAAGACTAAAATCTACAGTAAATATTGTGAAAGGGTAAGAAACTGCTCAAAGGGGGAAAATAGATAAGGAGAAAAGAAGAAAGATACAAATATATATATATATAATAGCTAAGATGATTGTACTACCAATTCCATTAGTTCTCAGAATAGAACAGTTAATACTTACACATTTAGATCCATTTGGCATGTCTATATCTGGTAATATAAGCAACTTTTGAAGATAACTATGCAGAGATAACAACCATTGTTAAATTCCTATCTTGTTTTAAAAGCCATATTGTTATGTTTTGGGTTTTTTGCTGTTTGTTATGTTTTGGGTTTTTTGCTGTTTGTCTCTTTTGCTTTTTTTGTCTGTGGATTTTTTTTTTTTTTTGAGCTTTTTGTTTGTTTATTTTTTCCCCCTCTTTAAAATAAAATAAGAGGGAAAAAAAAGGCTAGGGATGCAATTCAGCGTGACGGTTCTGGGTTCCATCACTAGTACTACCCACCACCAAATATATTCTGCACATAGTAAGTCCTTGAGTTAGGAACATTCAAGTTGCAAACTTTCAGAGGTGTACTGTGTAAGATTCACAAGAGTACTGCACAAGACTCACTTTGTTGGTTTACGAATGAATCAACTACAAACATTCTCCTGGAATGGAACTTGTTCATATGTCAGGGAATTACTGTATATATGTAATTATTAACAGTGCACAAATAATATCTGGAGACCATGTGAAAGACTAGATTTAATTCTGTCTATGTACAGGCAGGTTGAAATCAGAGTGTTATCAGCGAATATCTGGAAGGAAGGCTATGTATATATAGAGTTTGAGGTTGTAGTTCCATGGAATCTGGATGAAATGTTTGAGCTCAAAGCAGCAAGGATGGGCTGGGGATGTGGCCCAGTGGTAGAGCTCTCCCCTTGGATGCATGGGCCCTGGGTTCAGTCACCAGCAAACACACACACACAGCTGTAAAGACAATCAGCACAGGTGTGCATACACAGCTGGGTCTTCTGGAATCAGGGAGACTGCAGGTATAGTCCTAAATTTCCTTATGGTGATCAATTCTTTGCTGAGGGAAGCCTGGATTCCTGTTAGTGGAGGGCAGCATGTTTTATTGGGAAGACTTGCAGGTTGGTTCTTCAGTTGTCTCAAAAGATACTCTGAAAAGATAGCTATCTTGTACCTCAATAATTCAATTCAAGATGTAAAAAGTAGGATGCAAAGTGATAAATTCCCCATAAAATCAAAGTAATAAAATTAACCTAAAAATCTTAGAAGACTAAATATTTGATCTCTTAACAACTTATACTAAAAAGTCAAATTGGTATTCACTTAAAAATATACAAATTGTGCCCTTTATATTAAAGTGCATTTGTTCATCATGTTTAGACTTTTAAATCTCATGTATGTTCTCTTATTTCCACAATAATATCTGTAGTGTAAAAGTGTACTACTAGTCATCTATCTACTTTAATATTTTCTTTTGGGAACACAGTAGAATCTGGATTATATCAGTTGGAATAGTTCCCTTATGCATATCATTATGGCTAAAATTTAAGATTTAAGAAATGTTATCTTTAACACTTAGAGTTGGAGTTTTGTTTTTGTTTTTGTTGTTTTTGAGACATGGTCTTGCTATGTAACTCAGGCTAGCCTCCTGAGCTCTGGGATTACAAGTGTGCAGTGCCACACCTGACAAGAATTGGGTTCCTGCAGTATGTTTCTTTGCTTTTTTTTTTTTAAGGAAGAATTCATATCTAATGTTGCTTCCACAAAAATGACAGTTTATGTTAGGATTTGCGTTTCTTGTATCACTTTGATAAAGG